ACTGAAAACAGCAGTCAGTCAATGTCTTCCAGGCCTGTAGCCTGAGTTGGCTTTAAGTGGAATGGGATGTTTGATGCACATCAGGGGATAACCAGTAGGAAGGAGGGTAACTTAAAGATTGATTTCTGCACAGAGTAGAAACCTGTATCTCTAGGGCTGCATCAAGTCAGTAGCTAGTAACGTGATGAAATAAGAGAAAATTATGCTTTATTCCAAGTACTTGTCAGTATGTATTGATATACTGAAGTTCCTTCATTTTAGAACAAATATCTACAAATATGCTACTACTTCTAATAGAAGAATTGCTTTTTACACATAAACTGGTGTTAAATAACTTATTTTGTGGTGAAGCATGGGCTAGAAGACATCAAAAAAAGACATCAACATTAAACTTTTTCTATGTGATGTATATATTTGAGACTGTGTGGTTTCGTTCTGTGCTTCAGTTCATCAGTGAGCTTTGGAATTCTGTGGAGATCTTTTCTGTGTGCTTAAACTAATGCTTCCCTTTCCTGGAGGCATTCAAGGCCAGGCTGGATGGGGCTTTGAGCAACCTGGTGTAGAGGGAATTATCTCTGCCTGTAGAACGAGGTTTGAACTAGAATGTCTCTTAAAAATCCCTTGTAACCCAAACTATACTATGATTCTAAAATGAAGGTAAAGAAAAGTGGTGTTTTTGAGCCTGATAGCTCATGAGTAGCGAAGATTTTTTTTTTTGTCTGATTTTTGGCTAGAAGGTCCTGGAAAGTATGGTGGAAAGAGATCTCAGGAGAATATATTCAATTTTGCTGGCTTTGACCTTAACAACTGTGCCAAATCTACCCCTGAGATGCTTGATCTGGAAACAAAAGCTGATGGGAATTTCCTGGTTGCCCCAAGCAGCCAGTTTTAGTGCTTTACTGCCTCTATTTTTCCTGATGTCCATTGTTGCAATAGAGATTTGTTACTCAGAACCAAAGTTCTGAGTAAATGCATTTTATTAACTCTTTCTTTGCGTCTATCTGGTATGGAATAGGACTGAAAGTTTTTCCCCTCAGTCTTTATCTTCACTAGATAAAGGGTTTTTGAACTCTTTCATGTATCATGTTTGTTAGACAACTGATTATTTCTGTAACTTCTGCTTGATCTAGGTCTTTCGTGATCTGCAGCACTGAAAGCTAGCTAAGGTGAACTTTATTAGCTTGGTTCCCTTTTCAGCAATTGGGACTGAGATGCCCTAATGTCTCTATGCACCAAAAACATCAGCCAGATGAAACCTCAAGGAGAGGAGCCCAAAAGCAGAAGTTCTGCACTATTCAGATAGAAGGTGGTGGGGTTTCTTTGGACGTAACCTCTAATGATAGTGCTGAAAGGATAAACAGTCATTTAGTTCTGAAAGATGACAAGCAGATATGACCAGCAATAATACTTATAAAATACCAGTGGAACAAATTATTTAGAAACGCCTGTTAGTAGGAACTAATTGAGTTCTGTGTAACCTGGAATATACAGAGCAGGATGCAGCCAAGAATTAATGACAGAGATAATGAAGTGGCATATGGATTCCTTCAGCTGTTTTCATTCCCAGAATAGCCAATTTCAAGGACTAGGAAGGATGAATCAATGGATGCATAAACATAGCGTTAACATAATTATGTCAAAAAACAAGTTAAAGTATCATGGAATGAGTTTTGTCTCATGTAGTTCTTTGGTGCAAGTTTTCCAACTACTCACCCTGGGTACAGACAACACCAGCCTGCTGCCTCCTCCAGCTACGGAGTTCTATACTGTGAATATAAACCTGTGTTATTAACTGCCCATCTCTCAATTACAGTAGTACATTTGAATACTGTCACATGGATCTCTTAGAATGATTCTGTGTTTTCCTGCCTTGTAAAGATGCCAGTCCAAACATGAGCTAGCTTTTTTTTTTTTTTTGTTCTCCCTGGGCTGTCTTTTGTGACTTGCATCTGGACTTGAGTCTTTATATCTTCTATGAAGTCTGCTATTTTACTGTGATCTGTTGTGGATGAACACTTGGGAGGCTTCGCAATAGTAAATGCTGCTACCATGCTCTATGGGAATAGCAAAGCATGTCTTTGCATGTGTTCAAACTATTAAAGAGGGCTTCCACAACTCCCATTCAGGTAATGCAGGAAGTCCAGCAATGAATGATCTAAGTAAAAGGAGGTAGTTCTGCTCGTTTTGATGGTCAATACATGTTGGCCACCATTTACTCCTTACTTTTCTGATTATAATAGTGATATTTTTGATACCAGTGTTTGAAGTTCTATATGAGATGCGGAATATTCTTCTGGTCAAAATCTGGTCTGTTTTTATGGACTTAGGAATCTCACCTAAGTTCTTGTATCATAGAATGGCTTAGGTAGGAAGAGACCTTCAAGATCATCTGGTTCCTGCTATAGGCAGGAATACCTCCCACTGGACCACGTTGCTCAAAGCCCCATCCAGCCTGGCTTTGAATGCTTCCAGGGAGGGGGCAACCACAACCTCTCTGGGCAACCTGTCTCACCACCTTCACAGTAAAGAATTTCTTCCTTCACGTCTCAAGCCTGTCCAGATCTCTCTGGATAGCATCTCTTCCTTCTAACATGAAAGGTGAGAAGGGACCCATAAGTGAAAGTGAAAAGGCAAGAAGGCTTCACAGTGACTGAGAATGAGGGAGGTGAAGGGGGATAGTTAGAGACAGTTTATAGAAGTAAGAATGTAGAGCTTGTTAGAAAAATAAGGGATGGCAGACACTGGTCTGGAATAGTGAGGGGAAAAAAGGCCATGCCAATAAGGTTTGAGAATAACCCAGAGACCTCTGGCAGGGAGGTGATTAGATGTCCACAGGGCTAGAAGAAACCAGTTTGGGGGATGCCCCCCAACAGGTCAGAAGTTTACAGTGAGAAGGGTCAGAAGCCTTCGCGAGGAAAACAAGTCTTCATCCCATGACCCACAAGAGGGGAGGGTCTGCATGCTAATGAACTCTTGGGGCTGTAATGAATGTGTATCTAAATTCTGGAAAAACTACTGATTACGTATTAGTTTGGCCTGTATCTGTAGCACAATTTTTCCAGACAGTGTGCAAGTTAGGTAGATCTATCACCCTTGCATCCAGCATACATGTGTCACTGAATAAACCATACCTGCTTTGTAATCTTACTTGGGTTACAGAGTTTGATTCTGCATGTCAAGCGTGTAAACTGCACCATTCAGCTTGATGTCATTTGTAGATGTCCTGTGGAGTTGCTGATAAAGGAGGGTTTTGGACGTGTGCCAGAATGGAACAATCTTACCTACTTTGGCATCCAAGATCACCTGGTATTTCTTTTAAAATCTGACTGTTAGATGATTATATGCTACACACATAGTGTGAGTGCTTCTAGAGGTTGTTTCTGATCTTAAGACAGTAAATCTGTATGATGCTCTGCAATAGACATCCTGCTTTGGGTTGGCATTAACTTGGATGTTTGCTTATTACTTTTTTTTAATTTTTTTTTCTTCCTACCTGTAAGAAGCTACTAATATATCCTTGTCAAAACCGTTGTCTACTATTGTCTGCAATCAGTTGCTTGGTTGCCTCATCTGCTGTGACAGAGTCTCAGGGGAAGAAAGCTAACTCAAGGCGTTTCCACAAGGCTCAGGGCTTGTTCCACAATTAATTGTCCTACTTTCTGATTTGAATAATCTGGTTTAGGTAGTGCATGAGGAGCTACGTCAGCACGCATTGCTCCTTGCAGTCCTTTAGGCCATGTTCAAGCAATGCCTGGAATCTACAGTAACCTGGGAGATGACAGTCTTGGCTAGAGCATTCTGAAAGCATTTTCCACCTTAATAATAATAATAGCATGGGTTAAGCTATTTTGAACAATGTACTGGCCTAGGGAGAAAATCTAGTCTTGTTAGCATGTTGTATGTCTTAATTTTTCCCATCACCACCATAGCAGAAGGGATATCAAAACTAATGATGGATTATTGTGAAAATGGATCATTGTACTGAAGTAGCTAATGTAAACAACCCCTCTTCTAAAAACCTCTTTGAGAATAAAGAAGAAAATGAGCAGCAAAAAGCATTCATAAATGGGAGTTATTCTGGTAGTAACATGTATTGAAAATGTTAGAGGGAAAGGAATGCTTATCACACAAAAATTGTGGACAGTAATGTCACAAGGAAAGTACTGAGCTGTAAAGATTTTCCATTTGTGGACCAACTCAAAACTCTCTGATTTGATTAATGTATCATCAAAGGTGTTTCATCTTGTATCAGTGAGACTCCTTGGCTGTGGTTTTTTTTATCTATTTTTTTTTTTTGCCTAGTATACTTGCACCATATAAATAGAGGATAAATGTACCAGAAATAACTATCTGTGTTTGGAACCATTTTCCTTTCTTTTCTACACAGAGAAAGGAGACAAAGTCAAGACTAACTTATATAAGAAGTGACTCTAGGTCAATAAAGATACAGTAGAGTCAAAGCACTGCCATTTGTGTTTGATAAGCTAGATGTAATTCAGGAGAGCCTAGAGTGAGAGAATTGTTAAGATTTCTATAACTGCATGTGCATTTTCTGCTGAAATGTAATCTTGGGATTCGGGCAGTTCTGCAGTTCTTGATCTAGTAACAATGCTGTTTTTCAAAATTCAGACTTCAGCTGTGTAATTGCCATCTAAGATTGTTTTAAAATAGATCAGTGAAGAATGAGTTTGCATATAATTTAGTTTCAGAGTTATCTTAGGAAAAGAGTATGGATGATAACTTAGAGCTTTACCAAATTAAAACTCAATAAAATTGCTGAGAATCCTGCAATTTTGTCCTTGTCATAGAAGAAAGTCATTTAGCATCCTGATTATCTGATATTGACTGTTGTACTCTTAATACTTCATTCTGAAGGAAAAGAGACTGAAATATTTTATCAAAAGAGAAGAACTGTTTGTGATACAGATTTTACTTCTTATTGATCAATCTTCTTCAAGTAAAACCATCTTTTCTCACTTTTTTTTTCATTTCTTCTCTAGCTGAGAAATATAGACGGAAATTAGAAGAACTGGAGAAAGAAAAACATTCTTTAAAATTTCAACTTCCTTCTAGACATCCTTCAATTAGCAGTTTTTTGGATAGGTTTGTCACCCAAATTCAAGCAGTATTGTGTTGGGCTGCCGATGGGTAAGTTTATTGACTCCTTATATAAAATGACACTTCCGCTTTTCGTGAAGTATGGAACACAGTTTGTGATGAATTTTAATGCAAATTTGTAAGGACCTTCTGGCATGGAAATATGAAGCACATTTACGAAAAGTTGCTGTCTCCTCTTTTTTCCTATGTTTCATTTAGAATTGCTTTTAAAAAGGCTGATTATTGTGAACTGGTGAATCAAACTGAACTTTTCTCAATGATGTTGAGTGAGAATGGGATTGAATCCTGACCCAGCAACAGTGTAAGGCGGTTTGAGTAATGGCTCCTTATGGAGTTAATTCTGATGCTCCTTTTTCAAGCAATGAAAGAGCATTCAAATATCAAGTGAAAACAGGTTATTCTCCAAGATGTGTAGATCTTTGGGAGCTTCCTTTTATGCATCGCTTGTTAGGTGGCAGTAATGCACTCTGCACTGTACAAAGTCACAGAAATAACTTCTCAGCCTTCTCTTGAAGCAAGAACAGCTTCAAAGTCAGAGGGAATGTGAGATGCCTTGCATGACCCAAGGGAGGTAGTTAGCTTAGAAAGAAAAGGTTGTCTTTATTCCTAGATCTTTCTTCAGCTGTGCTACTGGTTACTGTTGTTAAAAGTAAGAGGATTATTCGTTTCCAGGTTTTGGAAGCTATTATCAAATAGCATAAATAAAAGAAGAAAAGCCTTTGATATTTTGGTAGCTTATACATATAAAGGCTGCAATGTTTGCTAGTTAGTAAATTTTGGTATATATAAATTTTTAATATATCTGAAATTAGTTAAAATCTCTACAGATTATTTCTCAGTAAATCCTATTATCTATTGAATTTTAAAGGTCTTTTTAGCCAATATGTGTAGAATTTAGTAATGAGAACTGTTTAACTCCACTCTCTATTTTCTTCTGCCTACTGTGCCCTTAACAAGATGTTTTACTATTACTTAAAGATTACTTTAAAGCATTTTGTCATTAAAATATTTTCCCTGTATGCATTAATTTATAACAATGTTTTTTACTTTAGAGGTGGGGTTGTTTTCTATGTCATGTGAATTGATTCAGTATAGCATCCCTGAAGTGTGGCCTGCTAATTTTTATTTAAAAAAAAAAAAAAAAAAAAAATTCTAAATATGTGAGTACATATATATGCTCCAAAAGTAATGCCTTCAAATTTGTTTTGTTGACTCATGGCGTCAGAAACAGATAGTGGTGATACGATAGTAGGGGCTGAACCTTCCTGCCAATATTCTGTTACATGTTGTTGCTGCATGACAGATGGCAGCAGAGGGGCAGGGCAGTCTGGCAAAGTAATGTCTGACATGGGAGTGCATGGGAAGCAAAAGCGTGGCATGAAATTCCTCCATGTGGAAAAAGTTGCACCCACTGACACCTTGATTGATGTTTGCTGAGTGTATGGAGACCAAACAGTGGGTGTGTGCACAGTCAGGTGGTTGGGTGGTGTGTTTCAGTGATGGTGACAGTGGTCATCTCTGCCATGTTCTGGACTCCCATGCAGATATTTGAGTGTGGCATACAGGCTTTTGTTTGTTGTTGGCAAAAGTGTATAGCTAATGAAGATGACTGTGGTGAAAAATAGTATTTTGTGGCTGAGAATTTGTTCTATCAAGTAGTGTTATTATGCTCTTTGTGTCAGAAATAAGTAGGAGGCATTACTTTTGGAGCACCCTATGTGCATTATATATTATGTATACAGTTATGGAAGTTTTTCTGTTCTCTTTCTGATGGCTTTATCTGTAACTCTTCTCTTTGCAGAGGTGTGAGAGCATTGCCATTCTTGAGGGTCAGATGAATATCCTCTTACTCCTCACTTTTATGTCTGGAACACTCTCCTTTCTTTGAGCTTGACTGTTGTTGTGCACCTTTTATCTTTCTTGCTTGATTCGTAGCCTTTCACACCACTTTGTCTGCAGTCTGGCTGCTTTGTTGATAGAGCAAGCAAAACTTTGTCTTCCACAGGGGTGAAGAATGGTTTAAAGTTTAACGTTCCAACAGTTTTTTTTTTTTTTTTTATAAAATACAGCTGGAAAACACTACCACTTCCTCAAGGAAAATTGGTTGGCTTCATTCTTTGTTTTTTGTTTTGAATCAGAATAAAGCCACGATCTCCAAGGTTTCTTTTTTCATCTGGAAAATGAAGCAAATTAGACAGACTAGCCCCAGAAGACCAGAACATTATAGTTTTACAGTAACCAAGCCAATCTCATCTTTTTGCAAATGAAGAACCTTATAAATTTGAAGTTTATATGGCAAGTTTAATATATGAGACTGATATTCATGCCTTGGATTTGTTTTTTGTGATTAAGTTACAAGAACAATTTTTGGTAAATATGTTCACTGTCTGACACTGGGATATTGTGGGTGCATGGTAGGAGTCAGGTGTGGATAGGAGCAGTGCCGTGTTCATTTGATCACATAGGCTCAGTGAGATCAGGGAGATCTTGTTTCTGTTTCCTTAAAATCAAACAGACAGAAGTACAGGCAATTTCCCAGGGATACTAACGTTTGTTGATTTTGGAATATTTTCTAAATTTGGATCAGCTGCTCAGAATTTCTATTGCATTCAGTTTTCAGAAAGGTACAGATTTTTCTTTCTTTCTTTCTTTCTTTTTTGATACTCCTCAGAGTTGCTGAGAAGTGTTGTTGTTCAAAACCACAATGATCTGTAATGCTAGGCACAAATATGCAGAGATGGCTTAGAACCTCACACACAAGTGTTTACTTTGTCATTGTAGAAATGCAGGTACACAATCCTTATGTCAATTTTAAGTATTAATGTCATTTACAATAGAACATCTCCTTTCGCTTCCATAGGGAAGGGTGTAAAGCACGTGTGTGTTCTAATGATCCTGCAGGAGAGACACGAATTGCTTTTGCTCCATACTGTTAAGCAACTGTGCATGGAGATCATAATTGTGTGATTAGTCCTGCTTGCACCACTTCTGATGCATGTTTTGTGTGTGGCACGAATGCATCTTTTGCAAGATAACAGTATGAAATCATGCTTTAAAACCGTCCTTCATCTGAGACAGTTTTTTGTTTTTTTTTTAATTTTTAAACAAGATGTTGAAATGTATCATTATCTTTTATGTGGAAATGCATATGCTTATCTCTAGAGATGGACATGAACATGCAATTGGTCTTACAAGTGCGCATGCCTTTATGCAGAAACGTGTGACAGAATAGGTTTGCCTTGTTTGCAGGTGCATTTTGAGAGTATTATTATAAACTTGACGCTTCATGTAACACACTGATTACCTTGGGGTCCAATCATGCAAAGATTTACAGCTGAGGGTTGTACCAACCACTGTGAGGAATCCCACTGACTGCGATTTTGAAAGAACTCGCTGTGCAAGAGGAAAAATAAAATCTGGCACTGTGGAGCAAATGCTCCAGATGATCTCTAGTGTGGGTTCCAAAAGCTGACAGAAGCTGCAAGAAATGGCTTTGGCAAGTTTCTAAACTTCTGTCTAAAAGAGATTTCTCTCTGTATTGATAGAAATTACATGCCTTAGTTTTGTCTCTTTGAAGGCGGTGAAGGATAAATTTCTGAAAAGTGAAGTAGCTGGTGGAAGCCTCGAGCTACATAAGTTTTCCTTTTACTTTCTTCAGCGTGTTGTAAAAACAGTGTAAATGTTTGATATAATAAGGAAGATATGCCAAGGAGAATGTCTTGTTCTCTAACTGTGTAGATGTTTAAGATGTAATCGTTCTGGTGATGGAGTGTTACAGCTCTGAAGGTAACACGTAGTATTCTTGTCTCTTTAATCTTTGTGAAGGCAATACCCAGTGAGAAAACTGACTTTTAGCTTTTGTCTTTCCTCTCTGAAAAGGCATGGAAATGAAGAAACCCAACTTTGGCACGAAAACAGACATAAATTGTTGAGATCCACTTACCAGGAGAGGATACAGGTTTTGGCCATGAAACGAAATGACCTTTTGCAAGAAAAGAAATGTTTACAGGTAAAAGGACTGCCAAGTTATCTATAATAACCAGTGCTGTGTGGGGGAAAAGCTTGTAAGCTGCCACATAGAATTAAATAAACTTATTGTAGTATTTTGTTCAGTGCAGCAATTAAAGCCTTGGCTGTAGTCCATTTGATAATTCAAGTGATGATTGGAGATGGCAGCCATAGGAGTTGTGTTAATCTCATTAAGGAAAAGCAGAGCTGGAAGGCTCAGTGGCTTGTGTGCATGCTTTAATTTTTCCTGTTAGCCTTCTAAGTGTGCTCCTTATGTTCTAATTTGCCATTTTTAAATTTCACTAATCTTCAGAAGTTTTTATTTGAAGATGGGAAGAATTTTGGGGGAAGCAATCTGTGACCAATTTCTGGTTAGATTTGATTATCAATATGTGATTTGCCAGCTTTTGATCCTGAAAGGTGATCAAAATGTTTCAGTACAATGCAGCAGTCTGTACGGAGCACTTGTAATTTGCCAGTGATAGCTTTACACTGTCACATGATGTCATTGTTGTGGTAATGGTTGGTAATTGGTTGAATGTTTTAAGACAGGTTCTGTCCAATTGTAAATCTGCAAGCTTTTATGTATATTTTAGGTTTTTTTTCTCTGTCCTTCAAAAATCTGTTTACTATCTATTACAAGTCTTTGCTCCATCTCCTTTTAAACTTCAGTGATCACACTCAGCAGTTGGACATCTTAGCTTTATTTCTGTGCTCTTTCTTTCCCTGAAATATCATTAATTTTGTTTTCCTCCTTTTTGAATCCAACAGCACAATGAACTGTGTATACACATGAATACATGAGTACGCATATATGTGTACATGTTTACATGTACATGTACATATACATATATCTGTACATGTGTATACATATAAAGAAGAAATGGAAAAACATCTTAGATGACCATTGCAAACTCTTTTGATCAAGTCATCATTGTTTAGATTTATTTCCTCAATCATCAAGAGTGGGTGTAGTTAGATTTAGCGGTGTCCAGAAAACTAGTTTTTGTAATCCTCATTATCCATCTAGCCGTGTCAACATAATAAACTGAAAAATGATGTCCTGAAGACTTGATGCCAGGTAATGTTTTTGTGGTTGTTTTGGGTGTATTTCTATATAATGACGCTAGGGACAAATTAGCATGCCCGTTACAGGCATGCTATGAGGGCTTGTCAAAATGATTGTGAATTCTGCGTGCTGAAGAAATCTGACCAGTAATGGTTGGTGACTCCTGGCATTTCTTAAAAATTGATCTAGCCTAAAATCACACGTGATCTGATCTATTTATTAATTTTCCTCTGCCCTACTTTCCCTTTCCTTTTGCTGTCTCTTCTTCCATTTCTGCATACACATTCCTGGCTTCTAAAGTGCATGTCACAGTATCCAAAATTTACATTGTAATATTTCTACCGTGACCTATACTTTGCGGACAGCATGAGCTTGTACATGAAATCAGGAGCCTCACAATCAGTAGTGATTAGCTGTCATGTTAGAAATCTCAGTTTAAACTCAAATCCAAAAAGTAAACCTCTGGGTTATGTTTAGTGAGCTAAATATCATCTGTTGCTCCATGCTGAGACTTTAAGTCCTTTTTATCCATCCCTGGAGGCTGCCCCAGAGCACATTAAAGGCTCCTTGACATTTCTGGAAAAGAAAGAGAGAAAATTCCAGCTTGCAGGCTAAAATTTCCATTCTCCCAAGAATAAATGTATACTGTTCCTGAGCAGAATAGTTTTTTCTTTGTGAATGCTGATTCTGGTATCTGAGTTGTAAAAATGTTTCAGTATTAAAAGTGTATTTTTAAAACCAAATTCTGTTCATCTCCTGTTCTGTTCCCCTTTAGGCCGCATATTGCAGCGACTGCAATTACTACATTTTCAAAGAATATGAAGGTCTTTGTATTAAGTAGAGCTATTAAGATTTTGGCAGTATTCCCAATCCAGTAATACAGAGACAGAATTGTCCTTTGTGCACACTAAAAGCCTGATTTGAGACTCAGAGAAACAAAACTGATGCTTTTGGCCTGCTGACCTTTTTGTTCTTGACAAATGCCTGTGGGTTGAAATACAGGCCACTCTGTTTTCTTGTAGCTAAATCTAAAAGAATAAAAAGGAAGAAAACAATTGGTAAATGTAGTCCAGAGCATTAATATAAGTAGAATTCTTTGAGCCAGTTCAGTCTTTTAATGTGCAAGCATCTATTTCTTCTTGTTTTAAGTAATACTCACGGTGTCAGAGAGCTTGCTAGAGCAACAAACCTGAATACATTTGTTTATAAAGTGAATATTAGTGAACTGAACTTCCCTTAAAATACACTGAAAATGTTAAAAGAACCTGAAAGTCAGTTGTATAAGCATGCTATTTTTTTTCAGTAATTTCTTTTTTTTCTTTATTTCTGCTTTATATATTGTTGAAAATGGAAAATGCTTCTTGAGATAGATACAAAGAATAACATTTTATCTTCATTACTCAATATTTGGCTTCCAAAGCTTTTTACTCTGCACCATTGAAACCTTCTTCGGATGCAGATTCATTACTTTGTGAATGGGCTCTCCTTAAAACATTAATCAACATGGTATCTGAGTGATTCAAACCGAGTTAATTTTGTCTCTGCAATTGCCCTGGAGTGAAGAGATGTTTCTATTGCCATTTTACAGATAGAGAATTAAGTAGTGAATTATAATAAAAAGCTACATGGTACTTTTTAAAGTGAATTTTGTAATGCCTACTTACTTACCTGGAAAAGGTCCCTGAAAAAGGTCTTTTCTCTTTGATTGGTTTGAACATGGTAATGGGTTATTTGAGCTTTGATTTCTGTTGAGAGTCTCTGGGTAGCACTTCAAAGACTCTTCCTTTTGATTGTGTGGAAGATGGTGAACATTCAGTCTGTGACTGTGCATGCAGATAATAGATTAAGTGGCTTGCAGTTTCACAGAGAACATAAGAAATGTAGAAATAAAAGCAGATGCTCCAGTATGACATTCAACAACTTAGCAAATAGCTCTCCTTTGATTATTTTTTTTTTTTTTTTTCCTTAACTCGCTTTTCAAATCCTAGGATAAGTGAGCCAAGGGCCATATATTAAGTAATTTTAGTAACTAGACAACTCAGATTCCTTTATGAAGTGCTCCTTCCCTTGGTGCAAGCTGTCTCTTGGATTTCCAAGGAAAAAATGGAATGTTCTTTTGCAAGAAACACCACTACCATAAAATGTTTAATATTGAATGAGAAGTCTAGAGGAACCACTGCAGGGATATGCTGCAGTAGGATGGACAGGTTGTTGATCACTTGCCAGTCTGATGTAGGATTCTATGGCTGTGGTTGGACTGAGATTTTTTTTTTTTTTTTTTTTTTAAGTTTTTAACAAAAGTTTTTTTTAACTTAGAAAGTACTGTTGATTGGCAAAATATGCCTGTCACAGATGATTCTGTCATAGGAATCTGAAATACAGTGTTGAGAAGCATAGGGGGAGTTTCAGACTGTGCAATTGCTAGAGCTTCTAAGCACAATGGATGTAAGAAATTTTGCAAGTCAACAGAAGGCTGTCTACTCATCTAGTGTTGCATTAAATGGAACAACCTTAATTTATGCTATTTCTAAGATGTTTTCCTAGGAGCATGGCCATTTCTTTGATTTTGTTCATAGTAAACTGAGGTTTCTGTTCTATGCAGAAAGAAATTGAAGACCTCCGAGTGAGACTGTCTGTATTAGAAGAAAAAGATCAACAGCTACAGAGAGAAATTGAAGAACAGGATAGACTTATTCAGCCACAGGACTGTGAACTGACTACTTTGCTTGGATGTGTTTCTTTGAGAGAACTACAGGAAATAAGCAAGGCTGTGGATGACACTTTAGCATCCTCCTATCAAATTCCATTCAGTTTGGATCTACCAGGGACAATAAAGAGGTATTTAAATATCAATACATTATCACTGATGTAAAGTCTTGTACCTTTCCAGTGTGATGTAGAGTTCACTGTCAGTTGTTTTGTTAGTAATCATGCCTGCTAATTACCTGGATTTGGAAAGTAAAGAATTTCTAAGAACAGATATTGATGTTCTAATATATCCTTCCTTAGGAATGAGGACCTTGCAGTGATTTAAAGATTTTGTACTTTATATTTTTATGTAAAAGAGTCATCAACAGAAAGCATTTGATGATAGGTATTAACAAGTGATGGATTTGATTTGAATTGTTTTTTGGTAACTGGTGATATTTATTTCCTAGCTTGATAATGCAGTAATTGCAGCATATTTCTCAGTCTGAAAGTGTGCACCAGGCACCATCCAAATAAATGTTAGAGCTGTCTCTTGCTTCAATGAACTTCCAAAATAATAAAGACTGCTATGAAGAATGTTAGGCTCAGACATTGGATTTGAGGTAGTGGGGGAAGGGATAGGGCTTGAAGGCTTTTGAGACACCTACAGTTAAATGCAAAGCATATGATTCTTTTAGATGGAAATGTGGCTACTTTTAGTAACTTTTTTTTTTTTTTTTAAATAACCTCATCTTTATTTTTAAAAAGGCAATAGAAGAATTTCAGCACCTAAGCGTTATAGACAGTCAATGAAACGTCAGTGATGGAACTTGGAAATGTTATTTCTTCTGTGTCATCAGGACAAAATAGAATTCCTATTTCTCCTAACTTTCTTTCCTTCCAGATAAGCAGTAGTTGTGTTGCTTTCTCATCTGTTTTTCCTCTCTTTGCATTTATTGGATTTAGATTATTTGTATTAACATTCATGAGAAGCTGCTGCTCATGTGTGCTAATTTATACAGGTTTTTTCTTAAAGTCAGCAGAATGTCTCATAGAAGACATCCCTCTGTTTTGGAGGCTTGTTTAAAATTTTAAATTAGGTTATGGGAATCTTGAATTTAGTTTGTTTTAATGGTTGCTTATACTTATGTTTCAAAGATTGAGGAATTAAAGGTTTCAAACAGTCTGAGAACATATACTTTGATTTGAGTTTTCTCTTAGTTTTGGGTTTGCTTACAAAAGAATATTCAGGTTTATTTTTTTTCACTCACATTGCTGATGCAACATTTTAGTTGTGCTTACTCTTTAAGAAAATCTTTAATGATGTCTTAAATTAGTACTGGTTCAGGAGCAGCTTTCTCTGAGTTATTCACTCACCAGTGCCATAAATAACATATTCACTTGAAAGAAATCAGGCATTTGTCATTGGAAGTGAGTTCAGAACTTTAACAAAGATGTATGAATACTTTTTTTTTTGTTGTTCATTTCTGAATCAGCCCTAGAATGATTCTTTTTTGTTTTCATTTTGTTTGTTGATCAAATTTGGTTATCATGGGAGCTGATGATTCATAGAATCATAGGACAGGTTTTCCATAGTCATAGAATCATAGAATGGCCTGGGTTGAAAAGGACCAGAATGATCATCTAGTTTCAACCCCTCTGTTGTGGGCAGGATTGCCAATCACTAGACAAGGCTGCCCAGAGCAACATCCAGCCTGGCCTCAAATGCTTCCAGGGATGGGGCATCCACAACCTCTCTGGGAAACCTGTTCCAATGTGTCCACCTCTGGGTGGAAAAACTTCCTCCTAGAATCTAACCTAAACCTCCTCTGTCTTAGTTTAAAACCATTTTCTTTTGTTCTATTGCTACCAACCAATCTAAACAATTGTTCCCCCTCCTGTTTATACACTCCAAGTATTGGAAGACCACAGTGAGATCTCCCCAGAGCCTTCTCCAAGCTAAACAAGCCAGTTCCCTCAACCTTTCCTCATAGGAGAGGTGCTCCAGCCTTCTAATCATTTTAGTGGCCCTCCTCTGAACCTTTTCCAAGAACTCTGCATCTTTCTTGTTCTGGGGACCCCAGGCCTGCACACAGTACTGCAGATGGCCTCTTCCCTTGCCTGTGTTTTTTCGATCTCTTAGTTTAAACCACTTGCTTCTTTAGGTACCTGAAATAATTCCAGGGCTGTTCTGTGTGATGGTCATGTATGTTTCCAGGATGGGTTCTCAGTCACTTTTTGCTTCCAGAGTAAAATATGTTTCCAGAAGTGATGAGAAAAGTAATATACTCCTGCATTGGTTTCAGCTAATAGTGTGATATCTGTGAAATATTACTCTTAAAGCGATGGGTGTCTTTTTAAATCCATGCAATCCATCATACCTTGGATACAGTGATCTTATATTTGCATCCAGTTATACTGTTTTTTTTTTTTTTTTTTTTCTTTATGTAAGATGAAAACATTGCAAATGCATAAGTCAGCTAGCATGTGTACAGTTCCAGTGGGCCCATGGAAGTCCTCCACATTGTCATAAAGTTATAGGGTAAATTCCTGCTGAAAGCAGGGCTACAATTTCAAAGTGAGATCATGTCCCTTAGGGCTCTATCTATCTTGGTTTTGAATATCTCCAAGGAAAAAGATCTTGCAGCCTCACTTCGTGTCCTATCTTTGACCACTCCACTGTGTACTCCTCTCCTACTGTATCTTGCCAGAATTTCTCTGGTTGCAACTTTCATTGACTTATCCTAGATCAGTATGTCTTGTGAAAGACAATATGTTAGGTAAGAGGTTGAAAACAAAACCAGTTCTGCATATTAGTTCTAAATTTCAGAGTCTTCTGATATTAAGTAGAAGTGTTCATTTTATTTTATGATCTATTATTTAAGAAAAAGTTTATTTTTTTCTGAAGTTTGGGCTACATATGTGAGAAATAAATAGACCTGTAATTAAAAACAGTGTTTATGTAGAAAGTCTGGTAGAAATACTGGTAGGCTGCTGACTGATGGCAAGTTTCTGGGTACCAGAATGAAAGATATTGTGCATTCTAGCTGTATTGTGCTAGTCAGTAAAGTAGTGCTGTAATGTGCTTTTGCATAATTATTTGTTGAGTTGCTTTCAGCACTAGGATAGCACAGGGCTGATATGAAGCATCTCTTAAGATAATATCTTCTATAATGAATCATGTTCAGTAGCTTGCATCTCACCACAAAAGTACAAATTATTTTGCTTTTCTTGGTCTAAATGTTATCAACTAGAAAGTTCTTAAAGCAAACTTAAGGGAAAGTGAGAGAACATCTTAAATGAAGAATAATTACCGAGATGGAATGTAACATTAGCTTGAGCATTGTTTCAAGCTTATTTTTCTTGTCAAGCATTGTTATTCTCAGGAAGATTAATAATCCTTTGTTTAGCTTTGTTTATCTTTTTTATGTGGTAGATTTTTTTTGAAAATTATAAGCCTTTGTCAGTAATTCTAACATGCTTAGAGTTTGAAGACTTGAGAAATGTTACATGCTTTACTCTGGGATCTTTCCTGAGGTCTAGTAGAGGCCCAGGTTAAAGCAGGGGCAGGTCATTTTCAGTCAAGCTAGCTAGTGATTTGACAGGGATTCTTATCCAGGTTGAGACCATAAAATATGGTTATTTTGCTCATCAAGACAGGATTAATTACCCTTGATAAACTAAAGGGCATAATCGTTATAAAATGAGGAAATTGCTCAGACTCCTTGCATGGGGTTCTGTGCTAGAAACGTTCAAAAAGTGGTAGGAGCAGCTGGTCTTTCGTGTGCTCTGACATTATTGTGTGTTACTCGAAGACTAGATACTGAAATCAGAGAAAAATAGTTCTGAGTGTTAAGTGTGAAGGACTTACTCCTGGTGATTGCAAAGATAAAAAAACAAACAACACAAGAAGTACAATTGCCATATCCTTCACTGACGAGGGGGCAGTTAAAAATATGTATTTCTGAAACTGTGTAGCTTGTATCTTCTCATTATAAGGTAAGACAATGTTAATTATTGGACTTATTCTCTACAGTGCCCATTCTTCCCTTTTTTTCACAATGGAATCTTGCTTCTATCTGTGGGGAAGTTTGCACTTCTGTTCATATTTAGGTTCACTGAGTATTTTTAGTTTTGATTTTACATTTATCTCCAGATATATATATGAACGCGCAGTATGTCATCCTTGAAATAAATTACACAGTTCCATATGGGCTATTGTCTAGGCAATGGATGCTGGTTGAAGAAAAGAAATTCAATTAAATATCTTTCAAAAATTTGAATCCTCCACCTCTTTTTCCGTCCCTCTTGAATGGAGCAATTTTTAATTGGTAGGAATATTTTCCACAGTGGGATCTTCTAAAGATATGAAAATTTTCTACTCTGTGTATTAGTTATTATAGGACTGTCTTGGCTGGTGGCACAAGGAACTGACCTAGAAGTTTTATGCAACAAGTTCAGTCTGTTTTAGTCACCTGGAGCTTATCTGAAAAGATTAATTCAAAGTGAAGTGGAAATGTTCAAGGGACTGAAAACCTTATTATGTGGAATGTACTCAGAGCATTCAGCAGCTTCAGTTTAGGCTAAAGCCTGGTGAAGCCAAGAAAGGTATTCTTTCTAGTGAAGATAGTTTTCTAGGGAAAAGCAGGGAGGAAAAAACTTGTATGTAGTTTCCCTTATTAAGTTAGGAAAAGTAGAAGCACCATTGAGAGCGATCTACTATCATTAGGACAGTTGGCATTATGCATGCTTTGTTGCTCTTCAAAATATATGTCTACTTGAAATTTCTAGTCATGTTAGTGGTTAGCAAGCTACGTGAAATTACTGAGGAAGTCTGAGTGTAGCCATGAGCACTCACATCAGCCTTTCCACAAAAATTGTGACTTTGCAGATTTGTATTTAGATGAAGCAAAACAAATGGTACCCTATCATTCCAAAAAGGTATGTATTTTTTTCAACAAAATGTGAATTTTGTCCAGAGAAGTCTTTTTTAAATGTATGATATAAGGTTTTCTTTGGCTATTTCTGAGAAAATGCATACGTATTAAAAATATCCTCTGAAAACAGAGGCATAGTGCAAACACAAAGAGCAAAGGGATGAAACGGATTTAGAATATCTAAACGTTTCTACTATTTGAGGAGAGAAATAT